ATTTTTAATGTTTTATTAAAAACCGAAGTGAAAAAACAACTCAGTATAAGTTTCAATTTCAAGCTATCGCAATTTATTATTTTATTTGTTTATAAGTGTAAACAAAATGTTATAACCCTTCGATTTTCTATTTAACTGGGGCATACAATAATAGTATTTTACTATAAAAGCACTTGTTAAACATATCTTATCTAGTTCTTACTAATATGAAGCCGCATCAAGCATCATTATTTGTGATGGATTGAAAGATGGAAAAAATATTCAATGTTCTTCTATCTTGAACAAAACATTTTTTCTGCTCTTACAATCTATCTCACATAATGGTGTTGATGTTGTCGTTGTTGTATTTTTTGGAATAACCCTCGGTTAAAGAAGGGTACTCAGTTGATAGACTGCAAGTGTAGAAAATCATTATTGCTTCAAGTTAATCAAAAGAGCTCAGTTGATAGATTACAAGTGCAGAAAATTATTCTTGTTTCAAAAATATTTGTTTTAATGGATATCTAACAAAATCTAGATATCACCAAAGATTTGTTGTTAACAATTTTTTTTAAATATTTTGTGTTAACAATGTATTTTAAAAAAATGAAATAGTCACCTTGATTTTTTTAAAACCAAGGTGATGCTACATATCTCTAGGAAGGATTGTAAGTGCAGAAAATAAAAATTCTCATTGGAAAATATACCTCTAGCATCTTGCATGGGACCTGGACACGTAAAATAAAATTTCTCATTAGGAAATAAATTTTATAATTTTTTTTAGTGTTTTGTGTAAACAATGTATTTTAAAAAAATAGCTTATTCTCATCAGTTTTTTTCTTAGCTGATGGGATAGTTAAGCGTTTGTTTATATATTCAACACCCTTATGTTATAAAAGTGTGTTGAATATTGATAATCTAACATATATGGAACATGAAGCGCTTGAAACATAAAGACGTTTTGAAAATTTCTATAAGATGGATTGCAAGAGCAGAAAATTACTTGGGTTTAAGGTTTGTTTTCTTAAATATTTATTTGAGCACAAAATCATATATTTGAATATTGATTTTATTCATGTAACTTTTTTTCTTCAAAATCAAATGCATGCAAGATTCGAAGAGAATAACCTTGCACCCAACATTTGATCTTTCCCAAGGTTCAATAATTCGAAGATCTAAAGTCTAGATCTTCATGAAATTTGATTTTTACCTTGTTCTCTATGGAATTTGACTTTTATTTTAAAAATATATATATTCTGGGTAAACAATATAAAAAATAATTTATAAAAAAAAGAAATAATCTTACCCCTCAATTTTATAAATAAACCAAGATGAAAGATTCGATAGTTTTAAAAATAATAAAAGTGCAGCTAATGGGGTTCAAACTCATGTGCATTTAACTTTACTTCTCGGTTTTAATACCACCGAGGTGATAAGGGGCTAGTTTTCATTTCACCCTTCATTACTGATCGCGACCTTACAAGTCTATCAGATGATCTAACTGTAAGTATACAGTCTATCACATAATTTCAAAAGATATTGAACCCACAAGGACTAATAATCAATATATTATTATCGATTGATGTTATGTAAAGCTAAGGCTAATGCTTAGAAGGTTTGGAAGGAAATAAAACATAAATTGTTGAAGGTTTAGAAATATATTAATAAAGAGATGCCAGAATATGGATTTCGTGTACCTCATGGACTCTGTAAAATATAGGCGTTAAATTATGTTCCGTAGAAAGTATATGTTTAAAGACTTTATCTCACACTCACGCGCTATTGAATAAAGCCACGCTCCCTAACCATGAGATTTTGCTCTCGCTCGCCCATTTTAATTAAGAAGCGTATTTTGAAAACTAATTAAATCCTAATCGATACCTAAATCGTTCTCGTTGTATTTAGGATCAATGTCCAGTTTCCACTATCCTATTCAATCCTCACACACTCGCGCTATAAGCATAAACTTGGAAACTAAAGCCAAAACATAATTTACTAACATTTTGCACCTATTTTCATTACTGAGTCCCGTCGACGACGAAGGTCCTCATATACCAGTCTCAGATACGTTTAGCCAGACATTAAATTAAACATAAACAACTTAAACATGGTATTTAGATGTAAAGACAACATAACATTAAAGTAAAGGATGCGATAAAACAATAATTAAAACAATACTAATAAAAACATGTAAAATTGAAATAAAACGCAAGAACTTGAAGTAACAACGAAAATGATTGATTAATGGCAGCAGGCTTGTTGATCCAAGAGTACAAGAATAAAGAGAAAAAACATAATTATGAAAATCTCTCAATGCGAGCGATTGCCACTTTTAATGGTAATATATGCCTAAGACTAGAAAAGAGAAATAGCAGAGCTTCCAGATTATTTTGGATAACTCAGAACTATGAAAAATCTAACTTATATAGAGGTTCTCATCCAGAAAACCATCTCCTGAACGTGCATGGGACGTTGAGACAAAGTAGGAGAGTGGGAGAGAGTGAGTCCAAGTAGAAATCATGTTTTTTTGTTACTAGATGATAATGGTGACCGCTGTTAGGAAAATGGCGAACACCATTTACTCAATTAGTAAGTGATGTGGAATGGGTACATGGCAAACTCCATTAGGGCCATGGTGAACTCTATGCACCAGAAGTGTGATTTATCTGCACTTTCTTCTACTTTTTTCTTGTTTCTTCGCGCAGTCGCTCCATAATTTATTAAAACTTGAAATGCAAACAGAATACGACATAAAAGTGATAAAACATGATAAAATGACATCAAATAACATATGAATCGGGTCTAAAAACATGGTACGTTTTAACGTTATCAGTTACCTGGCTTCTATAGGCGAGATAATATGATTTTTGCGTCCGAGGTAAAAAGTGCTTTTTGTAGTAGTGAATTAAGCAGAGATGTCGTTGTGAAAGAATCAGAAACATAGGATTGGAGTGGATCTCAATCAATCTCTGGTGCGATATTAACACCTGAGTTAACTTATGAAGATACTTCATATCTGAAGGTTCTAAAGATGAGTCAGAATCAAAAGATGATTCTGAAGGTGAGTTCGAAGATGAGTTTGAGTCTGATAGTAACTCTAATTCTAAAGGAGACTCTGAAGGTGAATTTGATTCTGATCCAGATTCTGATGGTGATTCAGAATCTGGAGGTGATCCAAACTCTATGCATATTCTAGACTTTGAAGCTGGTACTTCTGGGGTTCCAGAATCCGAAGACGATTCTGAACAAGTTCAAAGGCCATAATGAATCAGAAACATACCAAGGAGATTTGCAGAGTTTGACAAGTTGCAAGATACTGAAGTAGACTCTAAAGAAAAATTTATTCAGTGTGCCATATTAGTAGACTCTGAACTAGTCAGTGTTGAAGAAATGCTCAAGAAGAAAGTGGTTGAAGGTCATGAAAGAAGAACTTGAGGCTATAGAAAGAAATAAGACTTGGAAGTTGACTGAGCTTTCAAAGAACAAGAAAACCATCTGTGTTAGATGTGTTTTCAAGGAGAAACCGTAGCTAGATGGATCAATTGGCAAATACAAAGCAAGGCTAGTAGCAAGAGGTTTTCTATAGAAATATGGGTTAGATTACTTTGAAATGTTTACACCTGTAGCGAGATATGAGACAATCACACTGGTGATTGTGATAGATGATAACATGAATTGGCCTCTGATGCATTTAGATGTGAAATCTGCATTTCTGAACGGTCCATTACAAGAAGAGATATATGTGTCACAACCTCCTTGATTTGTAAAAAAAAATCATAAATGGATGGTGCACAAATTACATAAAGCGTTGTATGGACTGAAACAAGCTCCTAGAGCTTGAAATAGTGAAAATTGATTCATTTTTCAAGCTTAAAGGATACAAAAAGTGTGAGATGGAGTATGACATTTATGTTCAACATACTTCTAAAGGCAATATGATTTTGGTGCGTTTGTATGTTGATGACATATTACTAACAGGGAGTTGTGAACATGAGATAACTAAGTTCAAGAAGGTGTTGATGAATCAGTTTGAGATGAATGATCTAGGAAAGATGACATATTTTCTAGGGATGAAGTTTATGTATTCTAAGAGGAATATCATTTTGCATCAACTGAAGTATGAACTTAAGCTTCTAAAGAGATTCAGGCTGCTGAATTGTAAGGCTGTTGTGACACCTTCAGAAACAAATCACAAATTAGATTCTAACCCTAAGGGTGATGATGTTGATGCTACAACTTTCAAGCGCTTGGTTAGCCTCTAAGGTATTTGTGTAACCAAACCTGGCAATTTCTATGCATTTGGAATGTTCAGTAGATTCATGAGTAAAACAAAGGGGTCTCATTACCAAGCTGCTGTCAGGATTCTGAGGTAAGTTAAGGGGACTTTGAAGTATGGATCTTTGTTCCCTTATAGAGAAAAGGTTAATTTAAAGTTGATGTGTTACTCAGAATCTGATTGACGTGAAGACAAAGTTGACAGAAGAAGTACTTTTGGATATTTGTTTAAGTATTTATTTGGTCCTATTTCTTGGTGTTCTAAGAAGCAGCCAGTTGTTACCTTGTCAACCTGTGAAGATGAATACATTGCAGGTGTTATGGCTGCATGTCAAGCCATTTGCCTTCTTAATTTACTACAGGATCTGAAGTTCATGGTAAACAAGCCTCTGAAACTTATGATTGATAACAATTTTGTAATCAATCTTGTCAAGAACTCAGTGTTGCATGAGAGAAGCAAGCATATTGAAACTATGTATCATTTTCTAAGAAGTCAAGTCCATAATAGAGGGCTAGAAGTTGTACACTGTAGCACTCAGAAACATGTGACATATGTTCTGACGAAAGCGACAAAGACTGATAAAAAAATGATGCCAAATGAAAACATCCAAAGGATAAAAATCTTCCATAAATTACATGCAACTTCAAATTCACACGTTTAACATAGATTGTGACTACATTATTTATTAAAAGAAGACTTAATTTAGCTTCTAGAGACGAATTTCTTGCAAATTGAGTTGATAAGATCAGAACTTCTTGATAAACTCATAAATGTGATTGCTGACATCCCTAGCAGCTTCTTGGTTGTTAAAGTGAGCCACACCTTCTTGAATAACCACTTCCTCTAAATTTGGCACATGTTTCTTGAAACCACCACTCTCAATATATTGCTTTGTACCCATTGAAACATAAACTAAATCCAAATCACCTGTGATGAACTTCACTGGTACCTTAATTTGTGCTCCAGTCCATGCTGCTGTCAGCTCCCAATTTCTGTAAACATAATAAATAGACATGAGCACTGTAATATAAATGGCATGTGATAGGCCTATTTGTGAAGATTAGGGGCATGAGAGTGTGTTCTTCTCAAAATCTTAGACCTAAGAGTGTGTTCCTCTCAAAACCTTAAATGCTAATAATTTTTATATTAAGTTAGTTCATACAGAATTTTGCTCTGACATTAAATGACACTGCTAATAGACGATAGGACTGACTCTCTTGAATTAGTCGGTCGTAGTCGTAAAGTGAATGATGGACAAAAGAGTATGGCCTTACAAGTTGAGGTTTCTGTAGTAGTTAAGGCCACCTGTGAATCCTGTGTTTTCGAATTTAGAAGCATAGTAATTGAGGTCTTCTTGAGAGAGCCATGAAGGGAGGGGCTTTGAAATTAAATCTTGAGGGTTAGGAACCGTTCCCTCTTTGGGTATGATTGGCGGCCCAGGATCCCTGGTTGTAAGCATATGCTTGAGCACCAGTTCTGTGGTACCTTTTGCAAATTCAGCTTCTATTATCCCTGGTTCCTGTCACATGATTTAAATTGGATCATTATGCAGGATTAAGAATTAGGATTAAACTATCATCAACACTAATACAAACCTGAAATTTGCAGACATAATAATCATCACCAAACAAAGCTCGCATGCCATCAACCGGCTTGATTTTGGGATTTCTCGGAAAATATGGAACACTCAAACACACGTAAGCTTTCACTTTCTCAGGTCGAAGCAAACAGAGATTCCAACCAATGAGAGCACCCCAATCATGAGCCACCAGAAACACTTGTTCAACACCGAGTGAGTCGATCAGAGCAACAATATCACCAACCAAATGGAAAATTGTGTAGCTGCTAATCGAAGAGGGAGCTTCCGTGTCTCCATAGCCACGGAGATCAGGAGCCACCGCGCGGTAACCGAGTGAGCCGATAGCAGCAATCTGGTGGCGCCAGGAGTACCAGAGTTCAGGGAAGCCGTGAAGGAACAATACAACTGGTCCTTCTTTGCCTTTCTCTGCAACATGCATTTTGATGCCATTAACTTCAACTGTTCTGTGTTCTATTCCTTCCATGATCGATTTCTTTGGTTTGAACTGTTATGAGAGTTTGTTGTTAAGCGTTGGTATTTAAATATAAGCCAAAGATGAGATGGTTAATTGAATTAGGCGATTTTTACGAAGGAGAGTTAATCGATTTCTTATTCAATTCATTAACTAAACTTAATAATGCCCATACAAACAACTGTATGTATTTAGTCTTTACATTGAATAACATACCTTAGTTTTTATTGTCTTGTACTTATTAAAAAATTGAAAACTGTAATTATAGGAGTAAATAAGGAATATTATTAATTTTTTATTTAAGTAAAATCATGATTATTAATTAATTACTAGTTAATATTATTAATTATTATGTAATCATGATTTTATATAAAATTAAAATTATAGTATACAAATGGGCGACAAGATATGCTCTATCTTTTTTGGTTATTTAAGAATATAAAAAAATATTGTCTTTACATAAAAATATACTAGAGATAGTAATAAATATATTTCATGGAATTAGGGATTAGAATTGACCAAATACAACTAATAACATGAATTGAAATATCAACAAGTTGATTACTTTTTAATAAAAGTCAAGGTTATTCAACGAATATAAAAAAATATTTGTCTTTATATAAAAAAATATTAGGATAGTATACATTTCATAAAATTAAGGATCACAATTGACCAAATACAATTAATAACATAAATTAAAATATTGGTAAATCAGTTGTGCAATTGAAGATAAAAAAAAATTAGACAATTCTTTGTGATAATAACATTTTATTTTTTAAATTTAATTTGATGTATAATGTTGGATAGAGACAAAACAATATATGTTAAATATAAATGGTTGTCCTATTATGTGTTTATATACATAATAATAGATAAGATAATTTTATTTTATTATATTATATTTTTAATATAGTATGACATAATATATATAATATTTAAATGATAAATTTGTCTTTTGTGAAACAATTAATTGTTTATTTTGAATATTTTATAATATTTCTAAAAATTTGGTAAGTTAACAAAATATACTAAGAAAATATAAGTAAATAACTTTAGAAAATTCATAAACAATATTAAAAATAATATGTATATCTAGGTCTTATTGATAAATCATAAATCTTACTACTAGATAAGGAACATGGTCTGTGGAACTAAAGACTTATCTTATCTTGTTAAGAGATACGAGAACTTGTGATAGTGGATGCTTAACGTGCAAAAATAATGTTATGAATTTAATAAAAATATTTTGAAGGTGTAAAAAGAAATTTTATACAGACAACTAATCATAATTATTCGTTAATTTAAAATATTTAATTTTAATTTTAATTTTTTTAAATAATATAATTAAATGATTATGATGCTAATGGTATAAAAAAATTTATACTAATAGTAAATATCAATTAAATTTTAATGATATTTGACGTAGAATCCAATCTGATATGATTATCTCCTGTTCAGAACTTCCAGTCAGCAGTATATCATCAACATATAAACATACCAGAGTCATATTGCCTTCAGAAGTATGCTGAACATAGACACCGTACTCCATCTCACATTTCTGAAAACCTTGCTTCTTGAAAAATGAATCAATCTTCTGATTCCAAGCTCTGGGCGCTTGTTTCAATCCATATAGAGCTTTGTATAATCTGTACACCATCCCTTCCTGATTCTTTTTCACAAATCCAGGAGGTTGTGACACGTAAACTTCTTCTTCTAATGGACCATTCAGAAATGCAGATTTTACATCTAAATGCATCAGAGGCCAATTCCTGTTAGCAGCTATTGCAATCATCATTCTGATTGTTTTATGTCTTGCTACAGGTGCAAATACTTCAGAATAATCCAGCCCAGGTTTCTGTAGAAATCCTCTGGCTACCAACCTTGCTTTATGTTTGCCAATTGAACCATCTGGCTTCAACTTCTGCTTGAAAACCCATCTGACGCTGATGGCTTTCTTGTCTGTTGGAAGTTATGTCAGCTTCCAAGTCTTGTTTCTCTCTATAGCATCAAGTTCTTCTTTCATGGCCTTCAGCCAAAGATTTTGCTTAAGAGCCTCTTCTGTACTTATGGGTTCAGAGTCTACCATCATGGCACACTGAATAACTTCTCCTTCAGAGTCTACTTCAGTGTCTTGCAGCATGTCAAATTCTGCAAATCTTCTGGGAACGCTTCTGATTCTTTGTGGTCTCTGAACTTGTTCAGAGTCTTGAGCTTCAGAGTTTCCAGCTTCAGATGATTGACTTCCAGAGCTTTGACCATCTTCAGAGTCTGGCATATTTCCAGAGTCTGAATTGCCACCAAGATCTGGATTGCCATCAGAGTCTGAATCATCAGAGTCACCTTCATCTTCTGAGTCTTCTCCAGAGTCAGAATCACTATCAGAGTCAGAATCAACGTCAGAGTTTACTTCAACTTCAGAAATTCTTAACTCTGACCTTTCTTCAGAAGTTCTAACATCAGAGTCAGATTGAGACTTATCCCAATTCCAAACTTCTGATTCCTTCACAATCACATCTCTGCTGAATTCAATTTTGTTGGTTTCTGGACAATAGAGCTTGTATGCACCTGTACTGTGGTACCCTATCAGAATCATCATTTTGCTTCTATCATCCAGCTTCTGTCTTCTGGCTTCTGGAACATGTTTATAGCAAACAGAACCAAACACCTTCAGATGACTAACACTTTGCTTGTCTCCAGTCCACTTCTGCATAGGAACTATTTCCTTCAACTTCTTCGTAGGACATCTGTTGAGTACATACGTTGCAGTGGCAACAGCTTCTCCCCAGAGCTTCTGAGGAAGCTTCTTCTCCTTTAGCATGCTTCTCACCATATCAAGCAGAGTGCGGTTTGTTCTTTCAGCAAGACCATTGTGTTGAGGGGTATAGGGAGCAGTAACCTCATGCTCAATTCCATTCTCCTCACAGAACTTCTGGAACTCTTTGGAGTTATACTCACCTCCACCATCAGTTCTAAGAATCTTCAACTTCTGACCACTCTGATTCTCAGCCTTCATTCTGAACTTTTTGAATTCATCAAACACCTCGTGTTTGAACTTAATAAGGGATACCCATGTCATTCTTGTGAATTCATCAACAAATAACACAAAGTATTTATTCCCTCCAATTGATGCTACTGGAAATGGACCACACACATCAGAATGTACAACTCCCAAGGCATGTTTTGCTCTTGGAGCAACTTCTGATGCAAATGGCAATCTTGGTTGTTTTCCTTCCATGCAAACTTTGCATGACTTTTCAGGCTTCTTAATTGCAGGAATTCCATGTACCAATTTCTTTGAATTCAGATGTTGTAAGCTTCTGAAATTCAAATGACCAAATCTTCTGTGCCACAACTCACTCTCCTTCTCAGTACTTGTTGCACTAAGACACTCTGAGTCTGCAGTTCTGACATTCACCTTGAATGTTCTATTCCTTCCCTGTTCTGACTCCATAATCAACTTCTGATTACAGTCATACAGCTTCAGAAGATTGTCCTTCATGGTAACTGAGAAACCTTTCTCAATTAGTTGTCCCACACTCATCAGATTGCTTCTGATGCCAGGTACATACCACACATTCTGAATCAATGTTATTTTCCCATTGTTCAGAGTCACTCTGACATTTCCCATACCTTCTGCATTAAGATATTTGTCATCAGCACATCTGATCTTTGTTCTCTTTTCAGAGTCAAAGTCAACCAGCCATTTCTTGTTTCCAGTAAGATGATTTGAACAACCAGTGTCCATATACCACCAGTCTGTCAGATCATCAGATTCAGAGGCCATCAATAGCACAGATTCGTCATCAGAGCCTCTGGCTATATTTGCTTCTTCTGATTTCTTCTCCTTATTTGACCAACAATCTCTAGCAAAATGGCCAAACTTCTTACAACAGTGACATTGTATTTTTCTTTTGTCATACTTCTCTTTTCCCCTCTGAGCATTCTTTTGTCTATCAGAGGTTGAGCTTTTTGACTTCTGACCACCATCAGATCTTCTCCTGGCTTCTGACTGCTTCTGATACCTCCTATCAGAAGTTGCTTTCAGAGCCTGTTGTTCTACTTCCTTTTCAGAGTTTCTCTCAGTCAGACGCAACTCTTGTGCTTCTAGACTGCTCTGCAGCTCTTCAATTCTCATTGTGCTTAGATCTTTGGAATGTTCTATTGCTACCACAATGTAATCAAATTGAGGAGTAAGGGATCTCAACACTTTCTCCATGATTGTTTCTTCAGAAAGAGTTTCTCCACATGCCTTCATCTCATTAGTGATCAGAATCACTCTGGAGATGTATTCAGAAACTTTCTCATTATTCTTCATGTTGAGATTCTCATATTGCTTTCTCAAGGACTGAAGCTTCACCTTCTTCACTGATGCGTCACCACCATAACATCTCACCAGAGTGTCCCATGCAACCTTGCTGTTGTAGAGTCTGCAATCTTCTCAAACACGTTTACATCCACACATTGATGAATGAAGAACAATGCTTTCTGATCCTTCTTCCTTACTTCCTTCTGCGCGTTTTTCTGTTCATCAGTCGCATCTGCTGCTACCGGAACATAACCATCAGTGACAAGATCCAGAACATCTTGAGCACCAAACAGTACACGCATTTGGATCATCCAACGATTCCAATTTTTACCGTCAAATACTGGAAGTTTGGTGTTCATGTTGCCGTTTCCGTTCATCTTCTACTTTGCACAATACACTCAGAGTTTTCTCACACAGTGTTTCCCAACCCACAGAATTAAAAAATTCTGATCAGATTTTGTTCAAGATTCAACAAGAATCTGAGAAACAAAATCAAACACACAAGACCTCACGTTCACTCGTGTTTCCCAATGAATCTGAACCGGAGCTCTAGATACCAATTGTTGGTGCAAAGGTAGAATAAATGATGAAATAGGGAAATATTCTATTAAAGAGAATGACGGCTACAAAACATGATATTTGGTTACAATGATTGTCACCCTATTTATAGGCTAAAACTAGGGTTACTAGAATAAGATAAATACTA